TTTTCTATAGATTCATTTTAGTTTTTTCGGTTGAACACACATTTTAAATTCAGATGCGATTTGTAAAAAAAAATGAAAAATAAAACACTACTGGACAATCGTGATAGGTGATGAAGATAGACGCATTCTTTTTTCATTGTTTTTCATAAACGTTTGGTAACAATATATATATATATATATATATATATAAATATATATATATAAATAAAAATAATAATCCTATAAGACCCTTCCTCATCCATGTGCGGAGGACCTCAGATGATCACTATGATTTATAGAAAAAATCAAGTCTCTCTCTCATTTTATATGATTTAAGATCACTCTCACTCTCAATGGTTTATGACAACCGGAGTTTTCTCACTTTCTTTATGGTTTAAGACTTAACAATATCTCTCTCCCTCTCTCATTCTATATCGTTTGTGACCCAAAACCTCTTCCATTATTTATTTATTTGATTTAAGATTTACTAAGATCGATCTATATATATATATATATATATCCGTCAACCCACAAAAATCAATCACACACAGTGTCTGAGCTGAGACTTTTAAAATCTCTCTCTCGAAGTTGTTTGTGTCTCTCTGGGGAAGTGAATTTAAGAATAGGAAACTTTGGAATTTTGATGGCAGGTTGGAATGGAACACTGGGCTAGGTGGGCCCACAGGGCACTATGGCATTCCTCCTTGTGGCATATGCATGAGGTACGTACCCCCAACCCCCCTTTCTGTACGACACCCTCTTAATATTTTATATTAATATTAACTTTATTATTAATCTTTCTTATTGTAAACCTTGCTATAATTCATGGGCCTTCCCATTTTCTATATATTTACCCTTTGGTCTTAATTTATTGATTCTTCTTTCTTTCACATGGAGGGTTTCTTTGCCTCAAATATCAGTCCCCCAATGACCCTCCAAATATCCTTAAAGGTATATTTGGTCTATGGAAAAGTAGTTTATGCATTGGGGGATATATTTCTACATTTGCGCCCGAGGCAAGAACCATCCATCTTAAGATGGGATGGATGTAAGTGATGGTCCCTCCAAGAAAAAAAAAAAAAAGGTCAAATCAATGGCTCAAAATAGATTCTCAACTGTCAACCCCAAAATTGCGTCTCTTGATAAAGTTTGGAGGTGCACCTTATTTAAGGTTGCAACTTTATGCAAACCAAAACTTAAAAAAAAAAAAAAAAAAAAAGCCCCCCATCTTTTGTTTTTTTACGTGAATGATCTCTATCTAAGATATTGTATGTTCCTTAGAAATCAGGGTCAAAATTTATTTTAAAAATAGATTATTAAGTAATTGTGAATGATTGACTAATACATGAAGTCTGATTATAAGGAAAATGTTTCTATGCGACCTCAACAACATATAAGTTACATGTGACCCCATAGTTGTCCGATATGAATCGAATGGCTACTATTGTTCATACCCCAATGTCATGTCAAACACTATTTAATTTTTCATTTTTCTTCTATAAAATATTTTTGGATGAAATTTTTGGCATCCCGTCCTAAAATTAGGTGAATCGGGAAAAAAAAAATTCTGAATTCAATGAGGTTGGAATTTAATCAAAATTCTACCAATTTTTTAAATCTCTTTATGTTTTGGTTGAATTTATTTCCTCTCAACTAGATCTTTATGTGGAGTACAAATTTCACTTATTAAGGGTTTGTCAAAATACTATTTAGGAGCATTATGGTGCACATGACAATTATTAGTTTATTTTTCTTAGTTAAGTTGGAAACATGAGAACATGGCCTAGATAATATAAATACATTTGTTGATTTAGGAAGATGAGGTGGGGACCATAAATGTTGCCAAAAGATTATATGCTCCACTTCATATCATCTTGAATAAAAAAAATCCTAAAATTAAATAGGGAATGTCCAATTTCTGGATTGTCAGACTTCAGTGTTTTAAGAACTTTTTTTTTTTCTTCTTCAAGATATTTAACTAGTGATTCTAAATCAAATATTTAATGGTCAAATCAAGAAAATAATCTTAAGTAGGTCTCTTTCCAGAGAGGGTCTAAGTATATAGTGTTCTCCCACGCTCCAAGACGTTTATAATCTATTTTTTCTATGAAATTTCGGAAAAAGAAAGATGGTTACTAAGTTGCTCTTTTTTTTTCTTGTTCTTTTTTGCCCTTCTTCTTCTTTTTCTTTTCTTTTCTTCTTTTATCTTTTTTGGAATTTGCAGTCTCATCATAGACCAAGAGAAGGTCCTTTTGAGCTGAATGATGTATTTGCCATTATAAATTCAGTTCCTGCCATGTCTTTGATGGCATTTGGGTTCTTCAATAAAGGATTACTTCCAGGCCTTTGCTTTGGAGCTGTATGTATTTCTTAAAATCCCTCAACTAATTTTGTAAAGACATATTTATTGTAAATAAATAATCATTTATACTTCTCCTTTTTATCTTTTTCTTCTCAACACCCTCATTAAAAAAAAAAATTTTTCTTTTTCTTCCCAATTTTTTTTTTTTTTTTCTTATAGGGATTAGGGATCACAATCTTTGGGATGGCTTACATGTTCGTGCACGACGGGCTCGTTCATCGCCGATTCCCCGTCGGACCAATTGAGAATGTCCCATACTTGAAGAAGGTTGCAGCTGCTCATCAGGTATTTGTTATATTTTTTTTATAGAATATTATGATAAGTTATTTGTTTATATTGGAATTATCTTGGTTAAACCTCTTTCTTACATAGGAGGCCAAAGTCTTAAAAGCCATGAGTTTTTTCTCTTTTTATTTATTTATTTATTTATTGACAAAAATCACTCTATGCAGTTGCACCATGCAGATAACTTCAATGGAGTTCCATATGGACTCTTCCTAGGTCCTAAGGTATCTTCCATCTCATTGTTTTTTTCAAGGTTTTAAAAATAGTTGATCTGGATCGGAATTGTCCGATATGGATCGGAAATTGTTGAAGTCAATCCGGTTTCTACTATATATCGAGAACCGGCTGGGTCCCCCTTTAAACCGACATATCTTCGACAAAACTCTCCAATTTTGACAGAAACCAGTCGAATCTGTCAGTCAGAACCCGCTAGTTTTAGTCTGAACTAGTTTGAATGAGAAAACTTAGGTATGTATATTTTTGAAATTTTTTATTTTTTAGTGCATTTTTTAAAAGAACAAAAAAAAAAATTAAAACAAAAGGTATCAACCCATGTCATAAAAAGTGTCGGTCGGTAGGGACCAATTATGTACCTCACGCATTTATGAGTGTGCACTGCTTGTACTCAACGGCCCACTCATATTGTGTGAGGCTTTTATAGATGTTTTTGCTTCATTCAATTGTCAACGAAAGACAAATTAATCCCATTTCTTCACCACCACATGAAAGAAATTTTGGGGCCAATAAATTTTGGCTTCTCTCTCTCCTATTCCTTGCCCTCCCTTGGCATCTCTCTCTACCAACAATCTCTCTCTCAATCAATTCCACCAAAATTATCTTTTATATTTCTCTAGGAACCTCTTTTACTAAATTTGTTTCGTATAACTTATTTTAAAAATCAACAAAACTCCTAAGTTAGTATAAAAATTAAAAAATAAATTGAACTAGAGATATTCATTTTATTATCATATTTTTATTTTGACTATAAAATTTATTTAATACATAACAAATACTCAACATGAGACAGGTTCTCAATATTTACATATTTTTAAGATAATAATAAAAACCATATTGCAAATTGCCGCTGTCTTTTAGAAACTTAAAATATTATTTTTTTTAGAACTTATATTAGGTTTTTTAGAAAAATTGGAGGATGAAACCGGCCAATCTGGCCGATATTTCTCTCTGAATCTTCGATCAACCAATCTGGCACGATTTTTTGGGTGGTCGATCCGGGTCATCGATCCCCTTCTTTAAACCTCGTCTCCAGGAAAGACTATTTAAAGACAAGAAAATAAGTGTGGAATTACCACATGGTTCGTATTACCCAGATTTTCTATTCCAGTTTTGCCCCCATTTTTCTTTTTTTGAGTTATTATGATTGTAACCTTTAGAGTGTGGTACGATACTCTAGAAATCAAACCCGCTCATATTTGGGGCCTAACCCAAGAATGGGACAATTCAATGTTGCTTCTTGTATTAGAGATTTATTATGATCAAGCTGCCCTAGACATATGCGGCTTTATTTTTCGGGATATCATACAGAGGTCACAAAAAATAGAAAATGAAATTTTAAAAAAATATTGGATATTACCAATATCATAAGGGGGCAAAAATGAAATAAGAAAAAAGTAAAAACCGCCAAATAGGATCTGGGTGTGAAATTAGAGAAAAATATGTTATGCAATAATTTTGGTTTCTATTTTTTAATACTTCTCATGCTTCTTATTTTTCCTTCCTTTTAAGCTGTTGGATTTTTAAAATTTATATTTGCTATTGATTGGGAGAGAGAGAGAATTAAGGCAACATTTGATTGTGGATTTATAGGAATTGGAGGAAGTGGGTGGATCCGATGAGCTCGAGCGTTTGGTCAACTCAAGAAACAAAGCATCTTAATGGTCGCCAAAGGTTCAAAAAATAGTTGAACCCTTTTTGTGACCTTATTCAATGTATCTTCAAAGCACATTGGCACAAGTGCCCACAAAAGGAAGTTCATGTACCTATCTATCTATATTATTTGATTTCATGATGCATGTACAAGAAAATTTAGATGATCATGGGTTAACAAAAACTCTTTGATACATCTTGAGAGCTTAAAAATTACATTTTCCTTTCTTGTAGATGGCCTTTGTTGTTAAAGGGAATGATCATGTTAGCCATGCATATCAAGAGTTGTATTTAGAGCTGTGACCGGGTCAACCCGACTTGGGGAGACCAGGATTAGGACTCAGAACTAGAGCCAATCGGTTTGGGTCCATTAGAGCCAATCCGGTTCGAGTCCATCAAACCAAGACCGATTGAAGAAGTCGGGGGTGGACCTCGACCTGCACTTGACCTGATAGACTTGGGCTGTTATGTCGTGTCTTGTTTCTAAGTCCATATTGTGACCTAGGTCGGCCCGACTTGATTGGCACGCCTAGGTTTATTTGGCTTCCTATTAACGCAATTCATCCGGACCAGCCAGTCTTCTGGATGAAACAATCAATTGAAACAATGGGTGGAGCGTCCATTGAATGAACATTGCTTGCTTGCTTGCTTCGCTTGCCTACCAAGAGAGAGAAGCCACTTAAGTTTTATTTAAATAATTTTTTGCTTTTTTTAATCGATTAGAGCTCAAAGTAATGGAAATTTATTAATTTTATCATTATCATCCGTTTTTTTTCAACTAATTGGGGTTAGTTATACAAATCTTGATATGCCATTTTGTTTTATCAAATGTTATACTTTTAGTGAGGTTATCACCACAATCATAAGATATGAACCGTTTAACAATTTGATTTAATTTTAAATTACCCATCAAAATGCACTTGATCATCGTAAAAGGATGATTTGTTAAATAGTTTATCTTCCCTAAATTTAATCTATTGTATAATTTCGATTGGGATTGCGAGTCTCAATCCCTTGAAATCATCAAAAACCTGAATATCACAAAATTGTCGTGTTGTATTTTATTTTTATTTTATAGCTCCACTATGGGTGCAAAAACTAGCCCCCATGTGGCCAAATTTGTTTCTATACCAAGTTGCAAACTTAAAATGGATCACTTTGGCGGAAGTCTAATTGGAAGATAAAAATATCATGGTATTTCACATATCAAAAATAAGGTATTTCATAAAATCTTGACTTTATATGGCTGCATCTCAAATCTAGTTGGAAAATACAGTTTTTTGCCAGGAAACTTACAAATTGATTATCACCATCTCAACCACCATTGATTTGAGAAAAGAAAAAAAAAAGAGTTGGAAAACCTTAACATTGTCCGCCGTGCCACATTTTCAATGGAATACAAGAGTTTGTGAATTCATTAGATTTTAATATGTTTGGAGCTTCAAATTCTATAATCAAAAGTGAAATGGATTTGCATGTTATCACATGCTTTCAGGCCTGAATCTAGTTTATTCAGACGAGTTTTAAGGTCCAGCATAACCAAAATCGGTTAAGCAAGAGCCTTACTAAAACCTCATCCCTTTACATTTCCTTGCCTGAGTCAAATTTTGAAGAAGTGAATTTATTTTTACTTTTTTAGAGGTGAGACAATGGCCTTGTAGTGGAAGGCATCAAGGTTGAAGTTTCCTTGCTTTCTAAGGACCTAATCTTTCCCTCAAATTACTAAACCCCATATTTTTGGAAATCTAGGAGGTGAACTAATTGAAAGTCCTCCATTTTTTAATTTCAGTGCTCACCTTTTATATTAAAAACAATTGTCCGCATTAGTAATTGTCGATCTGGATTGGGAACTAATCCCTTCTAACCCAGTTCTTGTCAGAATGGGGAGACGGTCTTACTAAGATGGAATCAATCGATTATGCCAAGGAACCAAGCAGTTTGGACAAGCCGAATAGCCCGGTTCCTACCTATTATTTATTATTTTCCTTTTTATCTTTCTTTTTTACTGGACTAAGTCTCACACTTGAGAATCGGTCTGACTAATTGATCCGAATTGGTAATTTGTTGATCCGTAGTAGATTTTTAGTTGACCAATTCACCCAACCGGTTCGGTTTTTGAAGTACTAAGTGCATGTAAGTTCTCTACATGTAAAACTTAAAAATATGGTATAGAAAGTTTCACATTTAAAATCTTTTCGCCATGCCCCTCATGCTTTAGTTCAGTGCTAGACATGTCATCAGATACATGCCCCTTGTCCAGATTGTAGAGTAATTTGATTAGGGGCAACGGGTCGGGTCAGGCTGGTCCATGACCCCATTGGACCTGACCCAAAAAAAAATGTAAATATGATATTTAATATATACTTGTATTATTTAAAAATTATAACTGAAAATATATACTTATATTTATTTAAATATTAATTAAATATTATATATTAATAATTTACATATTTATTAATTTATATATAGGAAATGATGGCATAGGCCTACTAGCCTACAACCCAGATTGAATCTGGCCAGATGAAATGATCACGATTGTATTTTGTATTTGAATTTTGATTATTATTTTTTCTATACGTCTAAATCACTTAAAATTTTGAGCATATGTTCTTTAATAATATAATAATCCAATAAAAATATATAAAAAATATTTTATGTAAAATAAATTGACCAAATTACTCTCGAAACGTTTCAGAGGTATTTTGGTCAATTTATATTTTACGAAATATTTTTAAAATATTTTTATTGGGTACGCCATGATAAGAAGAATAGACGTCTAAATTTTTATATGATTTGGATTTGTAAAAAAGAATTAAAATTAAAATACAAAATAAAATCATGAATATCAAATCAGCTTAAATTGAATCTGAACTGTTGAGCTCACACGTAGTTCTAGGCTAGTGGACTGAAGTCATCATTTCCTTTTATATGTAATATATATAATTATTTAACTTTTATAATTATATTTTAACTTTATAATATTACAAAATTGGAATTGATCCGGATGTAGATCGGAATATTTTGGATCCGATAGGATCTAAATTCAAATCCAAATCATCTAATGTATACTTTTCAAATCCAGATCCTAATTTGCGTGAACTGGACGTGATCAAAAAAATTCGCAGCCCTACCTCTCAAGTCCACTTTTTTGGACCCATACCTAAACCTAGTATCGGGTCTGGTCGTGGGGCTTGTGACCCTAAATACTTGATGTTGCATAATTCCACTATTTGTGGTACATCACTTTTAATATGTTCTTTCGGATGAAGCCTAATTCTTCGCTTTGAACTTAAGAGTTAGGCTTACGGGCGTAAAATTGTCAAATGAAACTCATGTAATTAAACCAACAATTGTTTCATGCGGGCTGGACCGCATTTCAACAATATACAGTCCAGAGTCTTTAAAATGAATGTAAATAGGTGGTTTATTTAAAATAATTTTAACTAATGGTCCAAATATTTTCTTAATATAATTATTATTTTAATTTTAAAAAAAAATCATATTCATGATCTCCATGTTAAAGATTATATATTATCTAAAAATTAAGATCAAATTATACTTAAAAAAAAGAAAAAGTTTATATAGAGCCGAGGCTCTAAAAAATTAAATGAGAGCCTACCTCAAATAGTTCACTAGGAGAGGTTGTTTTGATGCTCAAATATCCTCAAATTGATCATCTCGACATCAAGATGCATGGACACGAGAAAAAAATGGATTTCAAGTTGTAAAAATAGTGTATTTTGAAATGCATTTTTTTACCGTCAATTTTCAAAAATTTTCAGATTTCCATAGATTTATCGATCTACACTATTTTTGAAGCTTTAAACTTTATAAATAGAGATGAAAATATATTTTAAAGCTATTACAAAGATTTTCAGTATTGAAACCACTTTTCTCGACCCTTTTTGAAGGTAGGCTCTAATATGATTGTTTAGAGCCTGGGCTCTATACAAACCGCACCCTTAAAAAAATACTTATTGCCAAGCCCGCATTTCTACAATGTGCAGGATGACCTCATGTTAAATGCATCCTTCTTAGACTTCATGACTATTTTCTGGAAATTACTCACAGTTTTTTGTACAATCATATTAATAAGTCATAAAAAGAATGTTTATTAATATGATTACTTAGTACAGTCGTCAGGTTCTTTGTGTAATCATACAAATAATAACTTCTTTTTGTAAGAATAAATTTTAAAATACATTAATTATTACATCTAATAAAATAAAATTTACATCTAAACATCTTTAATTATAGACCATGTCAAATATAAATTCTAACTATTTTTAATGATAAAGGAAGAACATAACATATTTTTTTACAAAAGGGCATTGTATACTATGAGATCATTTATAATATAATGAGGTCACAATGTATTCTAGCTTTCGGATGTGAAATTCGATAGCTTGGGGTACGTCACGGGTCCTGAAAATTTTTTTTTGGATTTTCTCCCCAATCAATGGTAGACTTCCACTCGTCCAATTTGATGTCCAATGACTAGTAGTTATTGTGACCTTTTGTACCAAAATTAAATGGTCTTATTCTATCCTTCCCAAAAATATAACGACCTTCAAATGTAAAGGCTTTTGGCGATTTTGAAAATGTTGTAACCTATTTTTAAACAATTTTGTGCTTGGTATTCGAAAATAAGGATGGAAAGTGGTCGGATGAGGGACAAGTTGACCCAAACCCTGACCTAGAGAGAGAGAGAGATGAGTTTACTCTGACCTAAACATGGTCAGAGCATAACCCAATTGTCAAGATCAACCATGACTCAAACCCGACGGACCGACCCGACACATGAACAACATAAAATACCAGCTTTATGATAATGGTTAAGGTCACAGTCTAACCATAACCACAACCTCTACCTAAAGGCAATGCATAGAGACACACTTCTCATCTCTTTTTCTCTCAAAAAGAAGGAATTGTCAAACAATATTTCAGCCTCAAGGGGAACAAGCCTTCTTTTTGTCCAATTTTTTTATAGGACAAGACACCTGCTAAATCTTAGTCTAACGAGCTTCTCTATCTCTTTTGCTAGTTTACAAAGCTTAGACTCTTAGGCTTGTTTAGTTTAGTTTACTAGACATCATTTCATGAGTATAGATAAATTTGTTGTCTTCTCTTTTAGAGACCAAAAGAGGAATTTAGAAGCTTGGTGGAGTACAAAAGGAACATCCAAGCTGTTCCAATAACAACTACCCATGTGAGAATTATACTCCCAAGAGAGAGAGAGAGAGAGAGAGAGAGAGTATGTATAAAGAAGAGTA